TAGCGCAGAATCCACTCATTCTTCATGATTTGTTCTTAATTTTGCAGCTGAGCTTGAGATGAGAAACGAAGAATCTGCAGGCTTCAGGAAGGGAAAACATTTTCACCAGTTGGGAAAGAAACAAAAAGGTACTAACATGAAAAGCGTTTCCAACTACGTGGCCCAAGACATTGGCAAATTGCTGATGCGGCATGACAGCCTTAACCCCTGTTACAAATGCTATTCCAGTGAATTGCAGAGCAATATATGTAAGAGCAGCAGCAACTGTTAAATAGTAAACATAGGAGGACTTGTTGCTGTTAACCGCTCCCCAGAACAGAAGGCATGCTGCAATTATTGAGCAAGTCATGGCAATAGAGTCTGAGATGATGAACAACTTGAAATAGCTATTTGACTGCAAAAGAGCCAGCCCTTGGTCTGGGCCTACATCATTGTTGTAGCCTCCAGGCATTGTGAAGGCAGCTGCAAATGTTACAGTTGTGATAAGTGTTGCAACCATCAAAAGGGTCTGGCCCATCTGCATGTAAGTTTGCACTGCATTGGCTTCTTCTTGTTCTGCTCTTGGGGAAATCTTGATATCGCCAAACCATGAATGTTGGGTAACGAGATGTCCCCAAAAGTTTGGGGTTATGTTATGCAATTCCTATAAGATGAACAGTTGTAGTTTGCTAAGCATTATGACCAATTATGACCAATTATATATACAAGGGATATTAATTATGTATTTAGTACTCACCCTGGGAGATGCAATACTGGATTCCTTAATTGACCTATCAATGTCAAACGCTGCTTGACCACATTTGTTCATGGAACTTTGATGCACTCTTCCATCCCACATCAAGTAATACATAATCCAAGTCTTTCTTTCTACGGTTGCGAGATGCAAAGGCGTGTTTCCAATGACATCAGGCTGATTTATGAGGCACTCCAGTTCTGGTGTTTCTAGTATATACCTGACCACATTTGCTCTGCCACCAACGATCGCCATATGAAGAGCATTCTGTCCATATAGGTCACAAATTTCTCCCGAGTCTGGGCAATGTTGAATGATCTCTCTTATCACAGGGGTATGACCTTTGCTGGCTGCAACATGAATCGGTGAATGACCCTCTTTGTCCAAAACATATGCAATAGAAGTATCAAGTTCTAGTAATCGTTTAACTGTTCTATGCTGGCCAAGGGATGCTGCATAGAAGAGAGGAGTTCTGCCTTGGTGATCAGTTTCTTTGATCAGCTGCTGTTTGAATCGTAGGAGTGTTTCCACGATGTCTTACTATGACAAAAATTGAGTTTGAGTTTAAATAATGAAAATACAGAAGTTGTGAAACTAATATGACCCTATGTGTGTGTGTGTGTGTGTGTGTGTGTGTGACTGGAATTTTATTCTATGCAACTTCAAATACCAAACGCATCTATCTGAAGTTAAAGTCCATAAAGAATTGTAAGGAGTTGGATATTATAATATTACTGAAAGTGTGTACAAAGTTAAAACATCCATTTCTAAAATAGCTTGAACAGAACTACGCCAAAGTATGACATACCAAAATGCTTCTCAATCACAGCTGCATGCAAGGCTGTTCTGCCATCTGACCCGCCATGAGCTGATGATGTAGTTGATTTTAAAATCTGATTCAGAATCTCAAACATTCCTCCTCTTGCAGCCAGGTACAATGGAGACTCGCCCTCATCATTTTCAATAGACGCCAATTTAGGGTCCATTGTAAGCAAGAACTCAACCAATTTAATGTGACCATTCCTCACAGCTTCATGTAAAACTGTATTCTTCCCCTTATTTCCCATTCTCAGCATCTCAAACGTGCCATCATTTGCATTCCCGAAGTCTTCCTGTGACATGGATAAAATTTCTCTGACCAGATCATTGAAGATAGAGAAGCAACCAACCCTTGCAGCCACATGTAAGGGAGTATCTCCATCTAAGTTTTGCTGTGTGAGAAGGGACCTGCGTCTGCTATAAATCTCTGCCACAACATTTGAGCCCCCAAATTGCACGGCGATATGGAGGGCTGTGTTTTCGCGAGGCGTAAGTTGATATAGTAGGCTGGGATTATCATTAAGAAGTTGTTTGAGGAAGCAAATATCCCCTGACTTTGCATATCTGTAGAGCCTTGGATCCATGGGATATTGGTAATGAGAAACTAGTAAAAACTTTGTGGATGCTTTATACAAGGCCTTGTGAAAGAAAATAAAAACTCATCATCCCATAGCTTAGTCTTATTGTTGATAGTCAACAGTTTGGAATGGTTCATTCATTGACCTCTATATTCTGGCCTTGTTTAAAAATCGTGACGTGATTTTCAGGACTAGTGGATGAAAAAAATCTGCAGTTCAATTCAAGTAAAGCCAACCTAACTCAAAGACTGTGTGAGGTCTACATGACAATTAGTTGCACATAACTTTCCAAGAGGGTCAATGCCCCTAGGTATCGTACTCTTATTTGCTATGTGGTTGATCAGTTCAACTCCAGCCATAATATAGGGTATTTTTATAATTTGGGCCTCCATATTGGGTATAAATTATAATAGTGAATCTCCCTTTAAATAACTCATCACTTAGTTTAAATTATGAACAACTTCTGGCTTTAAAATGGCGGTGGATCCACTATTATACCCAATATGGGGGCCCAAATTATAAAAATACCCTATATGAAATGGACTTTAGAAACACACACAAAGCTCATTTACAACTTAACAAAGAGGCCTTTAACTTCTTATAAATTACAAAACTCCCATCAATTTCTTAAAATAAGCCCAACCCCAAAACCTCATAAAAAAATCAAAATACTTAATAGGGTATCAAAGTAATTTAATAATCAAAATTAAATTCAATAGGGTCAGCTATCATTTTTTGGGTTTTTTTTGGGTTTGTTTATAGAAATTAAATGGTGTAGGGTTTATCTATATTATTAGTGCTAAGAATGGGTATATGACTAAATATCTCTTTTCTTTTTGCAAAAATAATCTGCAGTTGCAAAAATAGTCAGAAAGTAATACCGACCCTATAAAATTCCATGTGGAACAAAGTCTGTCGTGTTCTTTTTTTCTTGCGCAACAAATTTTCTTTTCTTACGTAGTCAGAGTCAATGCAATTGCTTTCACTTAATTTTTTTTTCTCTAATGGTTGAAGTTCAAATGTCTCTTCTGCTTTAGAGTAGAATTATATTTTAATCCGAACCGAGCCAATGATCTTAACTTATGGAAACCTTTTGCTCTTCTTTTTTGCATTTAATTTTTTTTTCTTTTCACCCTTCTCCAACTCCAGTTTTTTTGACTGATTTTCCTTCTTGTGTGCTGTCTGGTGTAAGAGCTCTTCCTCCTATTGTTGTTTCACATAAACAATCTCATTGAACATTTCAATGAAGTTGTTATCAAAATTTCCTTTTGGAGCAACTCAACTCACAAGAAATATTGAGTGCAAAATCATCCTATATCAAAAGGAGGGCAAAGAAGGTTGGCCTTGGATTCACGTAGTCCTTCAAGAAAGTTCTTGTTTTGTGGTTATTTGGCTACTTTCTTGCAACAAACCTTCATTCTTTTGCTTGCAGCCAATTTTCCTTTTGGTATCCGAAGATCAAATGGTCTTAGACCAATTACAATGTTTTTTAAGTTCTGATTGCATAGATAAGCTCCCAAAGAAAATGTATTACTCTCACCTAACAATGCAACAAAATGGAAATGGAAACTCTTTTTTGCACAGCCTTAATATATGGAAATGGAAACTCTTTTTTGCACTCAGCCTTAATATATATATATACACACACACACAGAGCTTCCATTGAGGGATCCCTCAAATAAGCTTATTTGAGGGACACCCTTGTAGGGCCCACTCCGCATTGTATTTCCCTAATCCAAACCGTCTATTTTTTAGATAATCATTCAAAGATCATCTCTACAAAAAATCACTTGAATCCGATATCATTTGACCACTCAATTGAGTTATTGAAATTTTAGTACTTTCTTGAAGCACCGTGTTCATTGATTTTGTAGGACACAATTGGATGTCGAAACGGTTTCCGATTTGCCTAATTTTTTGCAAGAATGATTTATGAATGTAGACTTAAAAAATAGATTGTTTGGATTGTTGAAATTTTTTTTGTAAGGGACCCTAAAAGGGGTCTCCCAATAGAAGGGGACCAATACATATAATATAGGAGGTTGAATTTGAGCAAATAAGGGATAAGGGGTTGAAATCAAATGAAACCATCCAAATTTCATATGAATGTTTAAACAGAAAATCCTAGATAGGGTTTTCTATGCTAGGATGACCTTCGGTTATAATTAAAAACTCACATGGGTGACACCGTAATGACTATTTAAGGAAGAATTGGGAAACCCTAATATATCAATTCATGATCTATTCATATTATTATGTCACGTGATGGAGTTACGGTCACATTCTGAAGCTTTTCAATGGGTGAATTGGGTACTTTTGAGAAGCAAACACACACACCCTACTTTGCTGCTTCCTACCCTGAATGCACCAAGATGCATTTCTAGAAAGCACTTCCTGGTAGGACTCACTAGCGTAATGGTTTGGAGCAATTGCTCCCCCAGGCAAAGTCATGAGTTCAAATCCTATCATTCATTTAGTGTGTGTGACTTTAGTGTATTATTGCCTCTCTCAATAGAAAAGGTTCTTAAAAAAAAAAAAATTATCATGTGAATTAAATGGAAAGAATGGTCCAAATATGTTTAGTTTTTCTTTCATGATAATGAAGGGAGTCGAATCCTAAACCTTTTTTGTTTTTGTAAATACAAAATATAGTCTAAATTAGGGAGATTACTAGTCTACAAAGGCTGTCCTCCACCTCTCAATTCTAACTAGAACTTTTATTTTAGCTAAAATATAAAATAAAGAAAAATAACAAGCCTCTAAATAGATCTATTTGGCCAGGGAAGCTATTCATTTATTTATTTATTTTTGTCAAGTAAGGAGATGCTAATCTTGGCGTGCATGATCTAATCCTAACGCGTGGCACAGTCCTATTGGAAATCACCTTTTATGATCCCGTAATTAAGTCGGCAATTGGTCCTATAAATGAAGGCTTCCCCAATACCAAACCCTTCATCGTTAAGAATTTCAGATCCCTTAAAAACCAGAGGCAAACCCAAATTCTTTGAAGCTCTTGCAAGTTCTCTCTCACCTCTAAGGTTAGTATTTCTGTATCTTGCAATTCCTTTGCTTCTGTATTTTTTTCTTTTGATTATTTGATTGTTGATGTAATATTTAATTTATTGTTAATATTTAAGATCTGTTTGAAAATCTTTTATGAAATTGTGTAGATCTATCTGTGTTTAATTGATTACCTTGTCAAGATCCAACTTTGATGTATGAATTCCAGAAAACATCAATTCTAATTTGGATTAATTTGTTTCGAGTCGTTTGATACCAAGATTTTGTTTTGTGTTAGATCCTGAACTTTATGGGATACTATTTTGATTTAGGTTTGTGTATTCTATTTTAGAATTCCAAGATCCAACTTTGATGAATGAATTCCAGAAACCATGATCTCCAATTTGGATTAACCTGTTTCTAGTCGTTTAATACCGAGATTTGATTTTGTTTTAAAAATTCTAAAATTTATCGGATACAATTTTGATTTAGGTTTGTTTTTGTTTGATTGTTTAATTACTGATTAAATTGTTAGCTTATTGTTGTTAATAATCAAAGATCTGAATGGAATGATTTGCGATCATCAAGGTCTATAAAATAATTTTTAATTCTGTCTGACTTAATCAATCATTTTCCAAGATCATGTTTTGTTTTTATGAATTCCCAAGAAACAAAATTTATTTAGGGTTGTTTTGCGTGAACAGATGCAGATCTTTGTGAAAACCCTCACAGGCAAGACCATCACCCTCGAGGTTGAAAGCTCTGACACCATTGACAATGTCAAAGCCAAGATCCAGGACAAGGAAGGCATTCCCCCAGACCAGCAGAGGCTGATCTTTGCTGGCAAGCAGCTTGAGGATGGCCGCACCCTCGCCGATTACAACATCCAGAAGGAGTCCACCCTCCACTTGGTGCTACGTCTCCGTGGTGGTATGCAAATATTTGTCAAGACCCTTACCGGGAAGACAATCACCTTGGAAGTTGAAAGCTCGGATACTATTGACAATGTCAAGGCAAAGATCCAGGACAAGGAGGGAATTCCCCCAGACCAGCAGAGGCTCATCTTTGCTGGAAAGCAGCTTGAGGATGGTCGCACCCTTGCCGACTACAACATCCAGAAGGAGTCCACCCTGCACTTGGTGCTCCGTCTCCGTGGTGGTATGCAGATCTTTGTCAAGACCCTTACAGGGAAGACAATCACCTTGGAAGTTGAAAGCTCGGATACTATTGACAATGTCAAGGCAAAGATCCAGGACAAGGAGGGAATTCCCCCAGACCAGCAGCGGCTCATCTTTGCTGGAAAGCAGCTTGAGGATGGTCGCACCCTTGCCGACTACAACATCCAGAAGGAGTCCACCCTTCACTTAGTGCTCCGACTACGTGGTGGTATGCAAATCTTTGTCAAGACCCTTACTGGGAAGACAATCACCTTGGAAGTTGAAAGCTCAGATACCATTGACAATGTCAAGGCAAAGATCCAGGACAAGGAGGGCATTCCCCCGGACCAGCAGAGGCTCATCTTCGCTGGTAAGCAGCTTGAGGATGGACGCACCCTTGCTGACTATAACATCCAAAAAGAATCGACTCTGCACTTGGTGCTCCGGCTGCGTGGTGGTATGCAGATATTTGTGAAAACTCTGACTGGGAAAACCATTACTCTGGAAGTGGAAAGCTCTGATACTATTGATAATGTGAAGGCCAAAATCCAGGACAAGGAGGGTATTCCCCCAGACCAGCAGAGGTTGATCTTTGCAGGCAAGCAGCTCGAGGACGGAAGGACCCTTGCTGACTACAACATTCAAAAGGAGTCCACTCTGCACTTGGTGCTTCGACTGCGTGGTGGGATGCAGATCTTTGTGAAGACTCTGACTGGCAAGACCATAACGTTGGAGGTGGAGAGTTCGGATACAATTGATAATGTGAAGGCCAAGATTCAGGACAAGGAGGGCATTCCTCCAGACCAGCAGAGGCTCATCTTTGCCGGTAAGCAGCTTGAGGATGGGAGGACTCTTGCAGATTACAACATTCAGAAGGAGTCTACCCTTCACCTTGTCCTTCGTCTCCGTGGCGGTTTCTGAATTCTGAATGATCCTTGTGGTTCCATCCTTCTCTGATCAGTGAACAGTGGCTTTGTTAAGTATTTTTTGTTTTGAATTCTCGTACTTGGCCGATGGATGATGGGTCACACTAAGACTATCTAGTTAATAAATAAACTTGCTTTGTATGTATCTGCTCTGTTTTTTATTAGCATTTGAAATTTCTGTTAATACATGCATCTATATTGCTCTATAATATTGTGTTTGGAACTTTGGATGGTCGGATTGGAGATGTGGTCTGGTTAAAATCGAAGCAAAGGATTCGAATCCGCGGTTGAAATCTAGTCTATGTACCCCCAGTTGCTAGTTTGAAATGTCCCTGTTTTTATTTTAGAAGTACTTTTACTTGTTCCCTTTGAAGTGCATTAACGAGATTGTTTTGGTTTCTAGTTTTATGTCTTAACAGTAGCCTCTGATCTGTTTCTTCTTCCTCTGTTTGCTCCTTGTCTTTACCATTGTGTATGCAGGCAAGAATTGTTTTGGGGGCAGTCCAAATTTGTATGATGTGTTTTACTAATCATAAAACAATTTTAGAAATTCCATTTCTCTCTTTAACCCTCCGATTGGGAGTATTTGATTATAGAAGAAGCTCATTTTAATTAAATACATACTTTAATTTACTCAAAATGATTGTTTGAAATGATTTTCATTTCAAACAATGCAAATTAGAAATGAAACAAGTACCAAGGGGCTTTTGGGTAGAAACCATTATCAAATAATCTTGCATTTGGTGTAACTCAATTATTTGAGTTCATCTTTTATGTAAACTGGCTTGGATCTTATATTTCATAAAATTCGATTCCCAAAAAAAAAGAAAATCAAATAATCAGAACTGGATTTAAGAGCATCCCAATATATAAACTAGGAGATATATTTGACATTCCCATTTGTATTCCCGGTAAATGTAAATATGGTATTTGCTTCAATGCAAGAACGCAAACCAGTTTTTCATATGTTAATTTCTTTTATTTTAACAAGTTGTCTTTCTTTTATTTTTCCAACGAATGAACCCAAAAAAAATTCAAATTTCCAATAAGATAAATTTCATCTAACACTATATGTCGTATCATAAAGTACATTAGTCACATTCGTTGGTTTCTCATCACGTATTTACACAAATCCTATGACGTATTTACACAAATCCAAAATTTCAACAAGATAAGATTTCATATCACGCCAATCTTTGGATTAAAAAAGTAGATTCAATCTCATTTTCAAATTATAATATTATTATTTATGCTTTGCATAAAATTCAATATTCATACAAAATAAGACTTCATCTCACACTAGTCGTTGAATTTAACTCTCTCATCCTCATCTTAACTCACATAAATGTCGTAGACTAGATTATCTAAATACTCCATTTCACACCCTTCTTTGAATATCTTTCTCATCCACCATACTACAATGAACCAACAAAACATAGGTTTTACCCCCAAATGACTCATTTTAAGTCCAAAATTAGAAAAATGCTGGCTACTTTAGTCTGTTTGCAATCAAATGGGGTTCTTTTCTTTCTTTTCTTTGTTTGTTGTTGGTGTCTGTGCGCTTCCATTTTTCAATCATAGAGGTGAAATCTTTGCACATAAAATCCTAAATAACACACACTAGGATCCCAACAGAAAAATAAATAACACACACTAGGAGAAAATGACCCATTGACAAACTCAAAGTGAAAGGAACGGTAGAGACTCATTTCTGGGCACATGTGTCCTAAAGACAAAGATACAAGGGCAACATTCGCTGGCGCCACCTCTGAGAATTACATGAGAGAAAAACAATGAAAAAAGATGATATCAATTTGCTTTATTTTATCTTATTTGGACTGCAGATCCCTCAAGCATCAGCACAAATAATAATAATTATAAATAAATAAAACAATAATCTGGTTGCTTTTACAAAGGGTAACCTAAGAATCTAATGTCCTAAACATGTTGAATGCACTTGGCTTTATGTTTGGTCAAGGTTGAAAATTGCAGGCATTGGCATATAATTATTGAAAAGAAAACAACCAGATAGACCTTGGCCGAATTGAAATGTGTGACTTTTATACATAGCCTTATGTAACAGCTAATGCAAAAGGCAACAGAAAATTACAAACCAATGACAAAAGCCGCAACATTGTCGAAATCAGTCTCATTCTCAGATGATGCAGATGCATAATTTTACTGTAACTCAAATGGGGAATAATTCATATCAAGTAGTATGAATGCATGAAGACAAATTTTACAGTGACCAAGTCAATAGTAACTCTGGCTTGCCTTCATTGCTTGCCAAGATACAAGATGAGATAGCCGGCTTGTTTATTTTAAAAAGAAGAAAAAAAACCAATAATTGTAATTCACTCAATTTGCATAGCATCAGCAGAAGTGCATAAACAAGACAATATAACAGATAACAAGCTGCCGATATTCTGCCAAATTAAATTAATAAATTACTT